TGGCTTTATCTGAACTGATTTGGAGCTCTAATATAACGGTGAGTATCCGGAATCGCACTGATTTAAAGGAATAGCTCTAGAAAGTTTCCCGTGTTTATGCCATGTACCGATGAATGGCCTGCACGCACAGCGAACGAAATGGCATGTAACGCGCACATTTCAAAGCCTCGCCATCATACCATTCCACAATGCCGCAGTTGTTGAACTGCGGATGCACACTTCGACTGTGACAGTGGTGGGCTGAAATATCAGTCCAAGCACGCAGCCACGCACTTCTGTGCCCTGTTGTTACCCCATGCATATCCATGCTACTTGGACCGTGGGGTTCTCTATCCGTCGTGCCCTTGGTGGATATATTAATTCACACCATTCAAATGTCCCACGCACTCTGCCTGGCGATCTTGAACCGTTTTATTGCTGGATTTGCATATTCGTGCTAAAAATACCGAGTCACGAAATGGCCCGACTGTCGCCGAGGATCAAGTCGTCTGCGCATGGGAATCGCCATTTGGCCCTTCCAGTCGACCCCAAATATCCGTCGACCGTAGCCGCTACCACAGTAGTCAGAGCTGCTTCGCGCACCTCGTTTGCTCGGTCTCCCCGGGCGTCGTTCATCTCAACTTCGACGACTGCGAACGTTGTGTCCAAAATGCCCGACGCGATTTCCCAGGACGAGTACTTTCGATTGCTCAAGAAGACGGACGTCCTTGGCCACTTGCTACGCGTGAATGACAACTTGCTGGAAGCCGAAGGCTTGCTGGAGGTAGCCGAAGTGGACAACTCCAAGCTCGACGCGATGAACAAGCACATCTTGGTCGAGCTCGAGGTCTCCCATCCGCGAGCTGCGTACAACACGCTGACACGTTGCGTTGAGTAGATGTTCAAGGGGAAATACTACGAAACCCAAAGGCTGTTCAAGGAGCACATTGAGCAGCTCACATGGCTGTGCTTGCGTGAAGAAGCACTGCAAAAGGGCCATCCTGACGTAGGCGCGTTCGACGTGGAAACTTTTAAGAATCTAGGCGTAGGCCGCAGCAGATCAAGTCGCCGATAAACTCAGGGACATTCGAATGATGGAGGACTTGCACAAGGCATGCGCGTCATCCAGGTCAGTCCTGGCCACCAAAATCTTCCCACATCGTGGGACCTGCACAAAGAACGATTTCTAGACTGGTGTCGGCAACCGATGATACCCAGTCTCGGGCCCTCGTCGTGGTGGCCCACCAGCGTGTGGAAGAACTCAGGGGGTGGTGCAGGTTGCACCGCCGTGACCTGCTTGATGCCGAGAGTGTAGTTGCTGAGGAAAAGGCCAAAGAGTGCGTTGAACGGCACTGTGGCGCCACCACTGATTTATCTCGTTCGCCGGTCGTAGGACTTCGATTCAAGTGACTGAAGTCCAGTACGCGGAATCGGTCGAATCCGCGCTGAAACACGTCCAAGTCGAAAAGGTTTGTGTTGGCAGCAACCCAATCTGCGCCCCACGTCCTCATGGGGAGGAGTGCCACAACAGGACCAACTTCTCGAACGCATGCAGCTGACCGACAAACAAAACGCAGCGCTGCATGACGAAATAGCCACGTTGAAACTCAAGCTCGAGGCGCACAAACAGCAACAGCGCCAAGACCGGGCAGCCATGCAAGCTCAGCAATCGAGCGTTGCGTCGGTATGAAACCTTTATGGCATGACTCGTTTGCATGCCCACAGTCGCTATGTGTGCTTAGCTGCTGCAAAACGTCAAGAATGACATCAAGAAGCGCTATGGGTACGTCGAGGCATCCGTTGTCTCGCGCCGTCACACCTCGATTCGATGGGCAGGTTTGTCCCACCAGTGCTGGATGCATATGCACTCCAGAGCATGCCACCGCCGCCGCCCAACGTTTCGATGTTGACAGCACACATGACTTGATCGGATTTGGAATTCCTGACGAAACTATGGTGGGAATACCACCGGATAGTGTAATATTCGATCGTCGCTTTCACCACCCAAATCAGAACGCGAAAGCCAAAATCGGACATCCCCCAGTCGATTTTTTGCAGTCGACCAGAATGGGGCTGCAACTAGCGACGGGTACATGCGGCGACGGCTAAAGAAACGCTGCTTGGATGTCATCCACAGTGAACCCCGGAAAAAGCTGTCATGGTTTCATCGTGAAAATGCATGAAGAATAAAATCAATCTAGTTGAATTATGTGAATTCGTCCAACTTGATTGGCTATAACAAGAGGAATTTCAGTCAGTCAATCACAGTTATTCTTGTATCTGCACTGCAATTGGTCAAAAGGAATTGCATTTCTGACATGGTATTGAAGTATACAGGGGGCAGAATCTTTTTAACCAGATCATGTTTTGGAGGTGGTCGGCATTTTGGGGGAGTAGGCGTTTTCTGGGGTTCACTGTAGCGCCATCGAATTGACAAACCACTCGACGTACCCATAGCGCTCCGATCGTTCTTGGCGAAGCACACATGGAGACCATGGGCATGCAAACGAGTCATGCCATGAAGCTACCATACCGACCCAACACTACCTACGCCTGCATGGTCGCCCAGTCTTGGCTCAAGATCTCGCAGGAACTTTCCAGGAACGTTGCGTGAGTATGCAAGGCCGCGGGTCGAATTTTCAGACAGATCGCCACACCCGCCATACACTCGAAGGTTCCGGTGGCTGATCAATGCGTAGCCTTGTCAAATGCATATCAAGGCAAATCCAAATCGTAGGCTTCGTTGCATTCGTGCTTCCCGTCGATTCGCGGCCGTAACTTTCGCCGCTCATCGATAGCTCGCCAGGCGAAAACAGCAACTCATATCGCCTCCCCAAGCCCCAGATCCATTGTCGTTGCTGCCAATGCTACGACATTTCAAAACAATCTTCACCTTGAACTACGGCGTACCCCACCCACGCATCTGATCGATAACTCCACGAAGAACCTCAAGCACCAAAAGCCATTTCTGAACTCGAGCCCTTCCACGATGCATCTTCCCCTCGTCTTCGCCCTCGCCGTTGCCGCGACCGCCACAGCGACAGCCGATGTCACCAACGTCCATCTCGACAAAATAAGCGAGTTGGCAAAGACGACAACGCTTAAACCCACAACTAACCCCCGTCCGCCACCGTCCAACGACTTTTACATCCACCATGATGGGTACTCGCTCCTCTTCAACTGCGAACGTCGCACGGCGGACCGGTGGAACTACACGTTAGCTACCGACAAGAGGGACGCCACTCGCCCCCCGTCCTTTTACTCCGACCCGTCCATCCCTGCTCAGTGCCAGCAATACTCGACCAAGGCGTACGCCGCCGTTCGGGGGGGCTACGATCGTGGCCACTTGGTCGCGAGCTCCATGATGACGGACAGCCCCGAACAGCGCCATCAGTCCCATTACATGACCAACATTGCCCCCCAAGTGTCGAGCTTCAACCAAGGCATTTGGGTAACCACGGAAGACATCGAGGCGTGCTACCGCAACCTGAACCGCATCTACACGTGGGGCGGCATCTTGTACACGGACGAGGCGAACGACCACTTCTACGAAAGCCATGGCATCCGCACGCCCGACTACTGGTGGAAGGTCGTGTTGACCAAGGACAGCAGCGGCCAGGACAAGATCATCTCGTGGTTCTTTCCCAACCAAGAGAACTTGGGGGCGGTCGACAAATACTTGGTGTCTGTCAACGACATCGAAGCGCGATTGACCGATGGCTTGGGGCCGATTCCCGTGCCTGCCGCCCTCAAGTCGTTCAAGGCGACTACGAGTTGGGCCAAGCCCGCAGGTTGCTCCCGCGCGTAGTTGTCCCGTCGCCATGAAATAAGTTGCTGCAAAATCAAATGTCCATATTTGTTCTCTCGGAACTGGGGTGTGGATGGCACCGGCGAGTCCTGTTCTAGCCACGGGATCGTGCGATGGAAACCATCCATTGACGTGGCAGTTGCAACGGATGGGGAATTCGAGCTAACGTGGTCGATGTATTGAAAGGCCAGCACTTTGGCCTAAATCGCTTTCCTTCGCGACGCCTGTGCATGTTAACTGAGCGCGTATTCCGCGAGACGCCGTCGAACGTTTGCATTCGACCAAGGACGTGCCTTCCAGGAAACGTCAGCAGAAAATAATGACATGTATGTGCTGCTGACGGCGCAGGAATGGCATCGCGCACGACCCGCACGACTGCAAGCATTTCCGTGAGAAGACGAGCCAGACCGATGCTAAACAAGTACGACGGTCCATGGGGTTTATTTGCGGCAGTCGTGATAGTGCTTGATAAACCATTCCACCGTCGCCGCGATGCCATCCTGGAACGACGTAAACTGAAAGGCCGGGACGAGGCGGCGGAGCTTGGCATTGCTCGCTGTTTTCTTCATTTGGCCGTCGGGTTGAGTCGCGTCGAATTTGACGGTGCCGTGAAAGTCCATGGCCTTGGCGATCGCCACGGCGACGTCTCCAATCGAGAGCTCATCGTCCACGGACAGAATGAGTGGCTCGGACGTGTCGTCGTAGAAACGAATGGCCCACAGGAGAAGTTTGGCCAAGTCGTGGCTGAAAATGAATTGACGGAGCGGAGTGCCGGACCCACCGACAACAAAGGAAGCGTCGCCGCGCTGCTTTGCCAGGTAGCACTTGTGGACGAGGGCCGGGATGACGTGAGCGTCTTGCAAGTGAAAGTTGTCGTGCGGCCCGAACACGTTGGTCGGAATTACACACGTGAAACACTTGCGGTGCTGGCGGACGTAGCACTGACTCAGGATGTCCAAGTTGCGCTTGGCGATCGCATACCTTGAAGCCGTCATAAGCGTTCATGGCGAGCGTGAATGACGTACCCGATGTTGGACGCATGCGGCGGGCCGAGATGTAGCATCGATTCCGTGATGGGGTATGTCGTGTTGTCGGGGAAGATGCATGTCGACAGCATCGAGATGACTTTGGTCACACCCACGTCATGGGCGCACGCGAGGACGTTGTCGTTCATGGATGAGTTCGCGCGAAAAAACTCGACGGGTTCATGCAGCTGCTTGAACAGACCGCCGACGCGCGCGGCCAGGTGCAGCACGTGCGTCGGTCGATGCATCTCGAACAGACGCCGAGTTGCCGCCAAGTCAGTTAAATCCGCATCGGCAGATCCGACAAAGATCCACGTCTCGTTGATCGTCGACAACTTCTCGACCTCTGCTTGCACGGCGCGACCGACGAGTCCCGTGCCGCCGGTCACCAACACGACGATGCCGGCATCCATGTTCGTCGAAAACTCCAAATCACACGGAAATCACGTGGTGTATCCGGACGTGGCGCGTCGGCGCTCGAACGACAACAAGATGCATCGGCGCAAAGCTCCCAGTGAGCAGCTTCCAATGAGATGACATCCGTGAATGGCGCACGGAGCTCTGTACCTCTAACCTGGTCCTTCCATTCCTCGCGCTGCTCTCGAGTGTGCAGTTACAATGAGGCATCAAACTAAAGCCTACTCAATACCGTGCCTCACATGCACACGTCTCCATGGAGAAAAGTCTTAGCTAGAACTTTCCAGCGCCGCCATGGACGAGTGGCGTGGATGGCCGCCGCGCCGGCAGGTGGGGAGGATGTTGAAGCCCAATTTGGAATGTGTCGTACTTACTTGGTATTCCATTCGAACTTTATCGGATGTGTGGTGAGGCGGCACGGAAAAAAATCACTTGAGTTTAGTATAGAACGCCCCCCTTCCATTGGATACACAAGATGGAAACCACAGCACCAGCCACCAGTGCCGCCGCGGCGAGCACTCCTGCTGCAGATGCCCTGCCGAACGAAACGCTGTATGTACGTAACCTAGACGACAAGATCAAGGAACCTCGCATGAGGGAAAGCCTGTACGGTTTGTTTTCCGCCCACGGGAAGGTATTGCAAGTTTTGTTGATGAAAGCGCACCGGTTGCGCGGCCAAGCGTGGGTCACATTCGAAGACGTCGCGGCATCCAGCACAGCGCTTCGAGCTCTGGATGGAACGCCTCATTTTGGCAAGATCATGAATGTGCAGTTCGCAAAGGAGAAAAACGACTTGATCCGAGCGCAACAGGAACCCAACGCGAAGCCGCGGGAAAAGCGAAAGTGGGAACAACACGTGAAGGAGGCGAAGGCGAGCAAAAAGGCAGACAAGCCTTCTCAACCCAAGGCACAGCAACAGCACCACCAGCAGTCCCAGACTGTCGTGCTGCCGCACAAGATCTTGTTTTTGCAGGACGTCCCCGAAGCGTGCAACCAAGATGCCCTCAGTATCCTCTTCAAGCAGTACCACGGGTTCAAGGAGGTCCGTCTTGTGCCTGGGAAGAAAGGACTGGCGTTCGTCGAGTTTTTGGACGAAGTCCAGGCGTCCATTGCGCTGCAGGGCCTGAACGGGTTCAAGCTCAGCGCGGAGGACCGACTCAAAATCAGCTTTGCCAAAAAGTAACCCACGTCCTCAATGCAGTTGTTCTTATCCTTTCAATATGGCGGTGAAGAGCAATGGGGAGTCGCCATGGCTTGCGTTCGAGTTTTGGGACAGCACCCTTGGCACCGAGGACGATATCGCGCCCGAGATCCCGTTCAAACACGCTATGTCCACTGCATCTGCGGTGCTTCAACGATAGCGCGGTTCCTGGTAGGTATGGCCGCGGGAGTCGTGAGAGAACTGCCACGTCTTTCTTTGGGGGAGCTCGCCGACACATGGAGCCACCACCCATGTGGCTGTGAAATGGCCTTCGGCGCCAAAATGCTCACGGCTCGACTGTTCTGGCGCACACTAAACTTCAATGGAGGAATGGCAACAAGATCTCCTGCCGTCGCTGTCTATCCCATTTTGCTCGGTCAGGAATCGTCATCGGTGTTAGCGCAAACGCAGCTTCGGTTGCCCTTCACTACCGAACCCACGGAACAAAGGGAGCGCACGCAGTCGGCGCAGATCGGTGGCCTTTCGAACCACCATCGTCAACGCGGGCACCCCTCCCCCACATTTGGTTGCCACCTTGCAACAGAAGTGGCTCGTTCGGGTTGTTCATATCCATCGTGCACCAGCATGGACCTCCTCCACGAACGAGGCACGATTCCCCCTGGGCGATCCGCACGGCCCCTTCAAGATATCCTTGTCTCCGAATGAATGCCTTCCCCCTCCATTCCGGCGCTTGAACCACACATCTCGTCGAGGAGACGTTCGCCGTGCCTGGTCGTGGCATTTCCATCGGAAAAAAGTTCCAAGCACCACACACGAACGTGGCGAGGTGCGGCTTCCATGAAGGGATCAAGTGTCACCACGAGCGCGGTCGGACATGTTTCGCCCAGACGTGGATGGCCCACGTCCGTGCCGGTCGTTGCGTCGTCCGCCGACATACCCCGCCGTCGCAGCACATGGGTTGGTTCACACACAAAAATTCACAAAAAAGAATGTCACATGCGGTGAAAATATTTTCGATCGTCCAGCCAAGTCAACGGCATGTCGCTGTTTGGATTCGCGCACGTCGCGCGGTTGAGAGGTGTCCGCTCGGACGTTGGGGCTACGTCCACTGCGCCGTCGTCTTGCTGGTGCTCGACAGCCGTTGTGTGTGTTGCCGGGAGGTCGTGTACATGGATGGTGGTGGCTTTCTTTCGTGGTGGCTACAGTGGCACAAGAGGTGGTGTCGTCGCGAAAGTGCATGTCCACGGCGCGACGTGTGTCTGCAGGACGTCCCTTCCACCACGGTGAAGCGAGGCGAGATCTGCGGAACATGCGTTGGTTGCCTGCACCCGGGCGGCAGCGTCCGCAGGAGGTCGGCTGGCCATGGAAAGGCCGTCGTGGTGCCTTGGGCGAACGACTCGCGCGCGTTCACAGAATGTTCGTTCTCCGTCACGTGGTTCACTTTATATTCTATTTCTTACAACGGCCCAGATGTTGGTCAAAATAAAATTCCACGTTTACCGCGCTCAACGGCCCGATGCGTTTAATTGAGCCAGTGGAATAATTTTTCATTTTGCATTCGACGACGGGGCTGGTGCGCGCGCGTCGTCGCTCGAGATGCCCGCGACCTTGACCGACGGCCCGACGGACGTTCCTCTCCCCACGCCACCCTTTGACGATATTCCACAGCTCAAGACGTTTGAACGCGTCGTGAAGATCGAACTGGACAACGTCCACGGATGCGAAGAACAGTTTCTCCGCGCGTCCACCGGGCTCTCGGCGGAAATGAAAGACCTCGGCCACAAGTACGGCCAAGCATACTTTTCATTTCTCCTCTCTGGCGCCCTGTCCCCGTCGGCGAGACTTGCCGACCTTACACGCGATGAAGTCATGGACCTCGCCACAGACATCGTGCATCGCATGGTGAGCTCCCTGGACAAGTATGCCCCGTATGTCCTCCGACTGTCCTGTGCGTATATCCTGCGGGAGTTTGAGGCAGCGTTCCCCAACAGTACCCGCGGCACAACGATTGTAGTCGGAGGCTGCATTTTCCTCCGACTGATCTGTCCAACCTTGATCAAACCGGAATTGATGGGCTTTGAACCGCACACCCCCCGGTCGCTTCCAAACGCCATTCTCCTCGCCAAGCTGCTTCAACATGCAATGCGGGGCACTCACTTCGACGTGGCGTCCGACGAGATGTACTACGCGAACTCGTTCGTGGCGAAGACCAAAGACTTAGTCGCTGCCTACTTGCGAGCGTTCCCGAGCACCAAGAACGACCTCAACTTGAAGAAGGTTGAAGTGATGACCGAGAACCGACAGCTCGATAGCGAAGTCCGTGCGGGCGACATGCCGTGCCTCGACCCACCCATGCCGCTATCGTTCCATCGAAGGACGTCGGGGTCGCTATCCTGGCATTCCAAGAGCCCGAATCATGCTTCGTCCTCGTCTTCATCATCGTCAACGTCGTCTTTTGACGCGAGTCCAAAGCGGCGGTTCAGCCTACGCAACCTCTTCAAGACCAGGTCCTCCGAGCAACACGTTGCCAATGGCCCAGCCACCTCCATTGCATCCCCGCCGCTGTCGCCCGCGCACCGATGTCGTCACTGCGGCAAGTGACCACCCGACACGATAGACCCAACCCTCCCCCATATTTATTCCTCGAATCCACCGATGTTCCTCCGGATACGAATAGGTTTCCGGATACCTCGACACCCCACATGGTTTGGTGTAGTAAACACGCGTTTTTTCTCGATTGTCTCCTAGAAACAACGTGAACGTTTTATTCCAAGATCCACGTTAAATGGATGTCGCTGGCGGGACGACAAGGCGACCGAACATTCGGCGAAAGCGATCGAAGTATCTCACCCGTGTCCATCCTGCCACATGGCCTGTGCATCGGAAGATCTTGGTGAGACATTGGATCACAACCAAACCACACAAACAGAAAAAAGGCAAATGGATGGGGAGAGTCTTTCGAGTGCAGCGAGCGACCTCACTCTATCTATGCACTGCCCACCACGAATCGGTGGAGCTAAGCTCCTTCGACGCAACAGGGAGACTTCACAGAGCACTCTGACTTGGGGCATGCGCACGTTTCGATGACAGAGGAAGGGGAAATCGCCCATCCATCCCAGACCATTCCACGATGCTGCCTTCCGCCTCTGCATCGTCCCCGACGTCTCTCCACTTGAATAGGTATGTCGCCGCCTACAGTTTACTTGGGCTATGTGGAAACCCCTCCCTGGCCAGAAAGTACGCAACTTCTTGTGCAATTCGCCAACGTACCACCACGTTTGCCCAGTTATGCACTTCCTGGTGTTATTACTTCTTAAACAAGTGGAGGAACTTGCGCGACGATGAGTTGGTCGGAGGCGAGATCTTCGTCAATTCTGACGCATGGGCGTACATATCTTCGCCGTCTACAGTCACGACGAACACATTCTCTTCGGCCACGGACGCCACCAGCCCTTGACCGAAGCGCGTCTGGACGAGGTCGCCCACCGCCGCCTTTAAGCCCTGCTTGATCGCGTCGAGCTGGAGATACGCCGTCGCACCAAAGCTCAAGTGAATGACGACCACGACTGTTGCGTCACCGTGCTGAATCTAAATTCACACATCAGACAACAACTTCCATCGCACGAAACCCACGTCGACGACAACACCGTCTCCAAACTGCGTCAAGACGGCCTGACCAACGTGGTACTTCAGCGCATTGCCGCCAGTGGATCGGTTCTTAAGCAAAGCAGGAAATTTGGGTGTGGCCTTGGCCATCTTTTGGAGGAAGCTCGATCGGAGGGATGTCCCCTACGACATATAAGCTATGGTACCATGGCAAAATGAGATGTACCGAGGCGGTGTCTGGCTGCGGCGACAACGTCGAAGTCGTCGACGCCTCGTCGCCGTCCTTGTCCATGGAATGGACTAGGTCGATGCCAAATGTGCGCGTCGTATTGTCCATCAGCTCGACCGTGTACTCCTTGGTCGTGGGATTGTATGCGACGGCAGTGCCGATGCCTTCTGCCGTGACGACCTACATATCACAATTGACATATTTGTACGCGGTATGATGGATGTCGAGATGGAGCGTACGGTGTCCTGCGGCAAAGCTGGAAGCGGCTCAATCTCGCCGCCAGCCTCGACAATTACCAACGAGCTATTGACACACTCGGTCGAGACCAAGCGCACGACGGTGCTCCCGTCAGCCTTGATTTCATTTACAACTCCGGCGCCGCCTGCCGTGTGCACAGCCTCGCCGATATGTCGGCCAGTCTGTGGAGATATTTCCGTGGAGCCACGGCTAGAACAGTGATGGGAGGCGAAGGTTAGAATGGGACACGATCTTTACCGAGAGAGAACGGTGGTGGTCGTGATGGTGGCGGCGGAGAATCGTCGTTTGGTGGACTCGAGCCATTTGTTGGTGCCTTCGAGAAATTTGTTGGATGTTTTCTTTTCAAGATGCGGCTGCGCTTCAGGTTGAAGCAACGACGGTGTCTTGAGGTCGTTGTCGTCCTGATTACTCGAAACAGGATCATGGTGGCTATGGCGGTTCGGCGTTGGCGCGTCCGTCGCATGTTGCTCGACTGACGTGTCTCTTTGGAAAATGTTCATCAAACTGTTCGAGCGCTTGCTTCGCCCGCCGTTGTTGGCCTTGGCCGTGGGTGGCGTGTGTGGCGCAGCGCCTTCCACCGGATGTCCATCGAGAAGGTTTCCGTCCTGGTTGTTGCCCAGGACAGACGACGAGTGCTTCTTCGGCCACTTAAGAAACGACGCTGTCATGTCACGACGTCAAACTTGATGCAATGACGACGATCCCTTGGCACTCGGGGGCCGAGTCGAAGTTAGTCGAAGCTTGAGGCCTCTACATGGGGGAGTGACAAATGACCAATATTACCATAATCTATTTCTTATTACAGAAATTTTTATTCCATGTCGACAGAATTACGTCGAATGGACGAGAGTCATGTACCCCATCAACAGTGCAAATCGATTTAGTAGCCCATGACTATATCTGTTCGGAGTAATAATATTCGGGAAGATGTCGTCCCGCCTCGTATGGACAGCTTCGTGCGAAATCCGCAGTAGATTTGAATAATGTATGGAGAATCGAAGTCATGGCGTAAAGGGACCAGTGCATTCTACCACGGCAAGACAAATGTTTTGATTTGTTGAAAAAGCTGACATTCTTGAATTTGACGAGATTCAATTGGACAAAATTCTATTCCTATGGACGTTTATACGTAAACAAGATATTCTCCGTTCCGCATCTTCAAAACAAAACACCGACACAATTTCCCTAGATGCGCGACCACACCATGTAATAATTTGACTGAATGGACCAAAACGGAATCTCAATGCATGCTTGAACTTGATTAAGAGGGAAGAATGAAATATTTGAAGAGACACGAACAAAAGTATTGTCGTTAGTCAAAACAATCATCAAACCGTTCCGGTGCGATATTCTTGCCTGTATATAATCTCGATGATACATGTTGTCTCAAGCGATCAGCGCGAGTCAAGTTGGAGATATTTGGCGAGGGAAATTGCAGGTACTGGAGGGCCACCACGGGCCTCTGTTGGCCTTATGGAAGTAAACGGCGCCGAATGTGTCCTGCGTGGCAGCACAGCTCCCATGCACGATGCAAACTTGTGTCTTCGGCAAAGTTATGATGAATGTGGAGTTTATGGGTGGTCGAAATGGCTCCGGTCCGCCAAATGCCGGTGGAATGAACGCCGCAGAAACAGCCAGCACACACGTGGCATTCCAGACGCAGTTGGTGGACTTCATGTTATGAATCCACATTGTCTCGACCGCAGCCACAACTGGTTGGATATCCCAGCTCGTGGACGCAACTTGACATTTCAGCTCCCTCGGCACCGGAATGCCTGGAGGACAATCACCTCTTTGTGATCATTGATGTAGCAGACAGACACGTGGTGATTCGGCCATTGTCATGGCCGTCGCGATTGAGGAAAACCCACGAAATGACCTTGTCGAGGCCGTTGCCGTCCGTCGCAATCACGGCATTCCACTGAAGTCGAGGGGTCGACAGTCCCGTCGTTGTGTTTCGTTGAGCTTGATCTCGCCCCGCGCCTGCATACTCCCCGTTCAAGGTCCGATACCACGCTTCGATCGCTTCAGTGTAATTTCATATACCTTGGTTGACGATCGAAGTCACCTGGAGGAGCGCACCACCCACCGTGGATACAATGAATGGGACAGTGCATGCTGTTGGCTGTGGTCAACAGTGCATGCTGTTGGCTGTGGTCACCAGCGCTTGGAGCTGATCAATTCAAACCAACCACCACTTCCGCTGTGCACTCGGTGCTACAGCTCAACTGAATTTCAATAGCCATCAATTCGAGATCATCGCGATGGTCACGCAGCGAGCCCCCCTTAGAGGTCGCACAAGATCCTTATGGCTGGGCAATGGATGAGGCAGAAAAAGAGGAGGCTATGATTAAAGTAGTCATTCCCCCCAGCCACCCACGACGTTGCAAGGTGGAATGGCGGGTCGTCCTGTTAGACGTCAGCGGTTGGGCCATGACCAGTGGTCACGTCATCTTGGTCGCTGTCACCATTGAGGACATGGTGGCAAGTCGGTGGCATGACCCAGCTCGTGGGGCTAACGATCGATTTGAGTGCATCGGAGACAGGGACCGGGCCCAAGTTGTCGTTCATCTGGGTTTCAATTTCGGCAACAGTCACCAAGTACTTGTCAAGGTGCCCCAAATTGGGTCGATTCGGAAAAAACCACGCGATTGCTTTGTCTTGGCCAGTCGCGGTATCCTTTGCTACGACGACTTTCCACCAGTAGTCAGGGGTTCGAATGCCCCACTCGTCGACGAAAATGTCGTTATCCGTCTCATTGTACTTGACGCCACCCCAGGTGCGAACGCCCCCAGGCAGCGTTCGAAAGCACGCTTCGATCGCTTCGGTCTTGGCCCACTGGCATTTATTGAAGGATGAAATCTGCGGCGCGATGTTCGTCATATAGTGAGCTTGGTGGCGAGCTTCGACGCTGTTGGTCATGTGCTCGCTCGCAACTAAGTGGCCGCGGTCATAGCCAGTCTTGGACCCGTAGGCCTTGGTAGATAGCTGTTGGCAATGGCGGTCGTAGTTCGGATCAAAGTAGAACCCTTTTGGGCGAGACGCGACGTGGATGTTTGCGCCGAGGCTGTATTCCCATCGTTTGGCTGATCTTTCGGCGCAGGCGTAGGACAAGTCAAACCCGATGTAGTGTTGTCGCGTGTCGGAGTCAGCAGTCGCGGGGCTTGCAGGATCCGCCATTGAAGAGGCGTGGCAAGCCACCGCCACAACCGTTGCCGTCCATGCTAGCGCAGAGCTCGGCGATCGCGACATAGTTCCTGAAGTGAAGCTGCGGTTTGGTAGGTTGAAACCACCCGGTTGCCGAGCGTGAAACCCCCACAATGCTCACTCTGACCAAGCATCCTACGTCGACAATAAAGCACACCCACATTGCGAGCTAGCCGAATTGAGCTCGCTTCCAAGCCCAATCTAGTTGTCCCGAGCAAGGAGCTCGAAACCTGCCAGGGCTCAAGAGCTGCAAGATTCAATGTTTATCATTGCTTGATTTTCCGGTCAAGTGATGAAAAATCATTGGAAGAAACGAATACATTAGCCAATAAAATGAATGTATTTCAACTTTATCAACCAATCAAATGTCTGTAATTTGTCATGGATCGGTTGTCGCCCTTTTGCGCAATTCGCCAAGCAACTCCTGGATGCTCACGAGATGGCCTTCGGCGATGTCCGCTAGCCTCGTATCCACTGCAAGGCGCTGCTTCTTCAAATCTCGATCTTGTTCCAAGCGTTCCCGGTGCAGATCCACGAGGTGTTCTTGGTGCTCGTTGTACTTTTGAATGGCAGCCGTGAGGGTGGCAAGGGTGGCTTCCCACCGGAGTTGACTCGCATTTGGTGGATGCGAGGCGGTAGTGGGAAGAGTGCTTCGTCGTGCCTTGAGGAAGGACGATTCAGGCTCAGAAGGACAAGACACCGTACTTGCGGGCGACGATGGCGGCATCGTCACTGGAGGAGTGTTAGTGGGCGATGGCGACCGCTTGCGCTTTTTCTTCGATCGGTTGGTTTCTTCCTCCGTCATCGTCACCCCATCCTCAGCGTGAGGATGCGTCGGTGACTCCTTCGCAACTGCGGGCGCCTTGCCTGGATTAAGCGTCACTTTGGATGGGTTCAAACTGGCAGCTGCGACCAGGTTTTCCTTGTTTTTTAGCCACCGCGACAACTGGTTGCACTGAATGCCATGCTTCTTCGCCGTGGCGTAGATCGTTCCACCCGACGCTTCGTACTCTTCGATAATCGCCACTTTCCCCGCCAGCGAGATCGTCTTGCGAAAGCTGGCCGATGGCATAGCGCAGTTGACAGCCGACGTTCAGAAGTGTGTGCTGCACCCATTCCCAGTCCTGCACCCATACTGCGGAAACAGATACTTGCCACAGGATTGTATAAAGTATTAAAGGTATACTTTTGTCTGGCCAGTGAAAAATGAATTTTTCCCATCGAGAAACTCACAACCAACCTTGTCACAGGAAAAAATTGCGCTCCTCCATTTTCCTCATGAAATTCCCGCGAGAACAATCCCCGAGTATATCCATTGAACCAGCGCTTCGAACAAGGTTGATGGCGTCCTAGGTTGATCGAGGACTCTGCAAATAGCGCAAAGACCTTCTTGCAAGAAATTCATTCAATAAGTCAAGAATATTTAGCGTGTTGCGAAGAATATGTGCAATTTTGTTACATCGAATGGATACATCTGGTCCGTTTCTGGATTGTAAGACTAGCCTTATTTTTTGTATAAGTTGGTCAATGTACGTCTTGTACGAGATTGTTTCACACCGTACACGATGTCCCAAGACTAAGTGAACATCCAGCAGACACACCACCCTCCGCAGCCATGCCGCCGCCACCGCCGCCTTGGTCACTGCAGGTTCACCGCACTTCCTCAACCTCCGTCTAGGTCTCTCAATCACATTCTTAGGCGTGGGTAACGTATATTGCGTTCATTCTCGCGGCAACGCTTGCCCACTCCTCTGCTTCTACTGCAATTCTCAGCCCAGACCAGACCACAGCGCTTGTCTCGGTACCAATCTGCCGCTTCGTTTCACGACCATGTGTGCGTCTGGCGGATCGAAATTCGTCCGAGATCATAGCGCCGCTCACTTCCGTGCCGCTTTATGGGCAGTACGCGATATATTCGCCGCTGACGGAGGCGTCCACGTGCCCAACCAACCACACCACATGCGGTAAAAGGAACCCTGTTTTTCAGTCATCGTAGTGCTCACCATGAAATGCGCTATAGTTCCGTCCTCAGCTTATGTTCCTGCGCTGTCACGACTTCCCAACGGCGCGATCAACCTCACCTTTTCTCTCTTGGACGCGGACCTAGTGGCGGACTCGTCACTCATCTTCACGCTGTCCTCGTCGGCGTTTCTTCACGGCCCACCATGCGGCAGTGGTGTCTGTAATGCGACAATGTGGTCGATCCCTTGTCCGCCGTCCTCATCGTCGCCGGTTGTCACCTTTGTCATCTCCAATGCCACAGGGCTCGTCAATGTGTCCCGCACCGGGCGCATCGCTCTGAGCTCCATGCCGCTCGTCGATACGGCCGTTGCGCCTGCGTCCATCGCTGGGTTTGCACCGACAGTGTCGTTTGAATCCGATCCAACCTGCATGCGGCTGAGCATCTACCTTCCTCGGACCCTCGCCATCTCGTCCCTGTCGCTGTGCCTTGCCCTCAACTCGCAGCTTTGCCCCTACACTTTGGTACATATCACACGTCCTAGTCTATCTTGACGAGTTGACACAATACTATCTCTAGCCGTCGTCGTTTCAATCGCTGCCGTCAAACGCCACCAAGGCCACGATCCTCCAGGGCAGCGCGAGTGTGCGCGTCAACCTGACCAACGCGTCCAATGTGTCAATGTGCATGACCCTCGCGTGGGACCCGAGTGACGTGGCAGCGCTGCAAATTCCGCTCGGGCTGTCTTTGTCCAGCGTGCGCTTGGCCAACTCGTCGACAGGACCGTCATCGCCGTCGATGACGTTGGGGTTGCCGTCGTCCATGCTGTGGACGATTGAAGGGACCGACGCGCAGTGCGTGCCGATCGTATATCTCGACTCCCCTCGCTCCGCCGACGTCCTTGAGCCCAAGACGCTGTGGACCGTGGTCTCGCTCGTCCTGTACACGTTTGGGGTCGTGCTCGCGTGCTTACTCGTGCGGCTGCATGGCCTCGCGTTCGTCAAGACGTCAATGTTCAATGACATTGCGCTCGTCTCGGTGCTCCTCGTGTTTCTTTGCTCGTTGTTTTTGCACGTGCTGTGGTATGTGGCGATTTTTCAGCCACTGTACATATGACGGCATGCCATAGGCTCACGATCCTTCACCGACTCCCAGGCTCCAGCGGCATCGAAGCCGGATTCCTCGTCGCGATCTTGGAAGGGCTGCGGGAGACCGTTCTCTGGACGTTTCTCGTCTCGATCTGTGCGCACTGGATGGTCCTGTCATGGCCATTCATTGCTCGACACCATCGTGACACCGGGCACGTTGTCGCCGCTTGGTGCGGCGGGCTTGTCGTGCACTTCCTCGTCCTCTTGCTCTACGTCGTTCAGAACTACAACGTGATGAAATGCACATACGTCGACTACCTGCGCAACTCGCACCAACGCCACAGCGACGGCGGTGCCAAGACTGCGACGTCGGTTAATAGCACCAACTCGACGCTCCAGCTGTGGCTGCCGCTGCTCCAGCCCGCCGACTGGAAGTACGGCGTCGAAAAGGTGTGTGTCGACAGCGGAGGCGGTTTCCTCTACACGTTTGCCCCGCTGCACATCTTGCCGTTGGGTGTGCTCATGCTGCTACTACGCCTCGGGTGTTCGCGGCTGCAATGGCGCCAGTCGAAAACCCCGTTGTATGGGAGCGACCACGTGCCCCTAACAGCGTCCGAGTCGCACAACAGCGTCATGCCGCCGCGAGTGTCCCCAACGACGCCGCATCCCCACCAGCCGCTGCACCGCGGAATCGCCAAGGACTGGATGCTAACTGGAACGAGTGCCACGATCATGGTCGCCCTCGTCACAACTCTAGGGCTGCACCACGGTCTCACGCTGTACTTGTACGCCACAAACCAGCATATGCCCGCGCTCGTGTGGCTTGTCGTTGGTGAATACCTCCCCATGTTGGTGCCGACGCTCGGCTACTTGGCCCTTCAGTGGACTGCGCAAGACATGCCATCCCCCATGCCGTTGGACCGCCAATCCAGTCGATTGCCGCATCATCGTACTCCGCCACACCCGTCGAAGCGGTACAATCGCATCGGCTTGGATCAAATTGACGACGGCGAAGATCAAGGTCTCTTGCCCCTGACACCATCGCCAACGTCGGCATCCGCTGTGCCATTTGGTGAGCGCCATCCTACGCTAGCACACCTCAACGTCACCATGGAGAAATCCCTCGATCAACACCCAGTGATCGTCCAGTTGTTTGTGTCGCACGTGAGCGATCTGCATTCGTGGACACCAGTCGGCGAGGCATTGAATGGCCAGGAGCAGCCGACGCGCCATGTGACTACGCCGTGGCGACCCCACGCGCGGCTTCGCTGTGTCGTGGCAACGCCATCTTCGACAGGGGAACGAATCGTCGATTCTGAATGGGCCATGGACAGCCTCTTGCACACTGGCCGCCTCCTTGTCCAAGCGCCTTCGTCGGTTGAGACGGACGCGGTGATGCCGAACGAAGAAGCGTCTTCGTCGCCGCCCTGGCTCGTGTCGATCTCGCTTGACCGCTTGGAAAATACCATCTCGAAACCACTCGCCATTGCGTTGACGACCAACGACGAGAGCACTCTCCAAGTGACCGAAGTGCTCCGAGAAAGCCCGTGGTCGACAGTTGCCGCGATCGCGTATGTGCAGACGGTAGTGCCTGCAGTCCAAAGCATGGCAGAGCAAGCGGCCGCCGACCTCGCCGCGTTTGACGCGGCACATGGCCGAACCAGGACGGTCCTTCCAATCGACCAGATCCAGGTAAATGTGAGATTGAAAGCACTGGCTGGGAAAGGCATTTGCACTGGAGAGAGACAATTTGACTTATTGTTGGCTGTGGTAGGAAGCAGCAGAGGCTGACAAGGTACGGTCCTGGCTCGTCCAGCGACACCAGAAACGAATGGCGTACGCGACCATGTTGACTACCGAGTGTTTGCCAGCCATGGCCGACCGCCGCGATACCGGTGCGTGGGCGAAACTCACGATCGATGCCAAGTCCAGCGCCCTGAGGTAGTATGATATATTGCTGCGGCGCACTCTTTGCACGACCTTACCATGGCCTGTCGAAGGTACTTGGTTTTGAACATGCATGTGCATGAGCTCCACGTCGAAACTGGTGGCGCCAAGCCGCGGGTGTACTCGACGCTCACGTCGGGGGTGCTGGCCAGCCACTCGGCCACGAAGCTGCCTCCGTTGTCATGCGCTGTCGACGACGACGGTCCGTCGCTGTGGCCGGCGCACGTGCGGTACACGGACGAGGCTGCGTGGTACGATCGATCGAGATATGAACTAGCCATGGAAATGTATCGCGTGGTAGGTCGGCATGGATGCGGGAAACGGAAGCAAATGGCCAAGCGCTGGCAACGCTGGTGACGGCCGTGGTCGACCAGATGAACAAGTCGGGCATTGTATCGACGTGGGTCGAATGGGTCGTCAGAAAGTCGTTTGTTTTGCACATGGAGAGTTTGTTGTCGGACTATGGGAAGGAGCGGCACATGCTCCACGACTGCGCGGCTGCGATGGAGTGGCTCCAGACGCATGTGACTCTGGGCGTCCAACTCGACGAAGACCCCGATGCCACCGACGTTGTCGTCAACATCAAGCTGTACCCATCGCTCCACGACTCCGCGGTGTACGTCGTTACGCAAAAGATAACGAGCGGCCGAACCACTCTCAGTAGGACCGACGACAGCGTCGTGGCTCGACTTGGTGCCACGAAAGTGCATGTGGTGCTGTGTGTGGCTCAGCGGCACTGGCCCAGCACCGCCCACCTCGACGACGTTGTCGCAGTCACTGCTTTGCTCTTCACGCAAGGAATCAATGAAGCCCAGACACTGGCGAACAAGACGGGTGGGTTGTTTAAAGAGACTTTTCCAGACGCTGTCAACCAGCGCAGCCTCGACCGCCTCGCTGCATGCGTGGAATCGAACGCCGGACGGGTAAGAAAAGCGTGTGGCTCGGCGACGTACCTCACGGCCATGGGACTGTCATAGCTGATTCCAGAATGCGCCGTGGTGGTCCGATCGAAGCTGGCGTCGCTGACGCAAAGCATCCTTCAAGCCAAACGAGAACGCGTCAAGAAGAAGCACCCAGAGATTCTCCAAGTGGCAGCACACATCACGCGGCTGATGGGAGGCGGCCGCATCACGGTTTGTGCAACGGGGAAAGAGCGCACGGCCATGGCCGTTACGCTGGAGCACGGTGCGTGGTGTTGAAGAATTGGTTTGATCATTGACTCATGTCGTGTGCAGGCTGGCTCCTCGGACACTTCCATCATGTGCCAGCGCCGAGTGTCCGTCGCGCGATTGCGTCCATGCGCAGCGACGGCGTTCGTCTCGACGTCCTCGAAAAGAACGGCGGCAAGCGACAGTACTCGTTCAGTGCCTTGCAGCGGTCGATGGTGCCAGAGGCTTATCGATGCCCCGAAGGCACATACGACAGCACCATCGCCTAAACCGTGAAATATTTATTCTACCATCATTAGCTCAAGGTGGCGGGCCTTAGCGGCCACCTTCACCCGCCGCCTGGTGGACTGTCGTCGGGTCAGCGCTCTGGAGTTGCTTACAGCAGAGCTGTTTGTTGCTAGAAACTCGAGCCAGCAATTTCTCGAGTATTTCATTTCCGTCGAGATCTTGGAGACAGGAATGTTGGTTATCGCAACGATCTGATTGGTCTATTTTTCGTTTACGGCGTTTGATTGGCTAGTCTTGAACGATTGAGAAGTATCGAGCATACAGCCACCCTCGATCGGGGCACAGGCAGCCTACCAGCATGGAACATCAGGACGTCGTAGGAGTCCCAGCATGACAATGCTAGAAGAGCCAAAACCAGACACCCCATAACGCATGCTGCGAGAACACGGCCAACTCGATGGCTCCACGCATGCGTCGTCGTTTCTGCGCATATTTACAGGCACTTTCATCAGCCAATCAGATCGATTCACCAATTTATCCGGCAATTTCGGTCGAAAGCGGCACCCTGTTTTTCCGCGTTTAGGTCCTCGACCGGATAATCTTTTAAAATCCGGATGGCTGTTGCGTATTCCGAACTTTCGCAGTAAAATCACGGTAACTCCGGCTACCTCTGTCGCTGTACCTGTATCGCCGCTGACAACACGCAGCAACGTGAGAGGCACTTGGAGAGATAGACACCACACGCTGCGACTAAAGTTAGCGCTCCCGAACCTCTCAACACTCAGGTTGAAGACGAGAGTACGTGATGCAACTGTCCCGTTCAGCAGGCAATCGATGGAAAACGACGACGGCAGGTTGTGCATTCGGGAACAATGCAGAACTGCGAAAAATGATTTCTAATATTTATAATTCAATTCTGCATTGAATTAGTAAAATTCTCATGTCATCTGGCCCAATCCGACGCACTGATTGGTTGCCTAAGGTCGCGCGAATGTCTATCGAGCCTTGGAAACGCGGCAGCGCCACATGGACGTGGCGGGAATGGAGACTAGAGAGGAGCGAAGGAAAGGGAGCGATGAACATAGAGAACAGAATCCATGCCCTAGCGATTGCTGAGGCTATAGTTTTGCTTCGCAGATTGACCTACCTCGTACGAGCTAGCTGCTGTAACTACCACGACAATGGACCCCAGAAACAACAAGGAGACATGTAGAAGGCACACGCACACATGTACTTGGAAGAGTCTGTGTCCACATCATCCTTTGAGAAGTGATGTACTTACTGCAGCTCTGATCAAGTTGGCTTGCGTCGTGCACGTTGTTGTGCATGCAATCACATTGCTATGTCGACTTGCTCACATCTGCCATACCATCCCTTTAATCATTAAATAAATATGGTAGAATTCTCAGCTAAGCTTCAGCTGCCACTTCGGCACTTCCGCTCCACATGCGCGGGCGGACGCTCCTGTGTGGGACTCTAACGTCGTCTTCCAAGTGCCCGTCGTGCATGCGCTTGGTCGCGTTCTTCTCCGCCCGGACTTCGTTAACGGTATCTGCGCGCGACTTGCGAATCGCCAAAGCCTCAACGCAGAATGCCGCAATGTCCTGGACATGATACTGTGCTTCCTTGAGTAAGCCAATACGCTCGAGGTGGTTGAACTTGCGTACGCTGCCTCGACGGCAAAGTTTGGACTTGCTGAGATCGATGCTCGTCGAAGACGTGTGTGTTGGCGCCAGTCCAATGGGTGGGCCGGTAGTCTTTGGGACCGCGCTGCCACCGTACGAGACGCTAAACGTGTACGTCGTGGCAGTGGTGAACGTGACACGCCGCGAAGAAAGATTGCATTGAACTTGGTTGTGTTGGAAGGTTTCCGCGGGCGTCGAACTCTCGTCGATCTTGACGGCAGCGGTGGCGGTGGGCTGCGCTCGTTCCATGGGACTGTTTAGATGTGGTGTTGGTGTTGCGGATTTTCGGTGAGAAGTCATGCCAATTATATTACGGTTTGTAAGGGTTACGGCGGGAAATTTCCGGATAAACATGAAAATCAGATGGTTTGGATTTTGGAACTGGCAGCAACAGCCAGGGGCAAACCGCCACCGACACCAGCTCTGCCTGTTGCTGCGCCAGGTCAGGCGCGGTAGACGTGACGTAGCAGTGCAAGTCGTGCCGTATGCATGACTACAACGCACAGCGCCAAAGTGGACTCATGAATGAAGCGGGGCGTGGCGACCCACCGCATTCTTAAAGATAGCTGCATGCCGTTTCTTCGTACTAAGTGATAGACACATTGGGATAGAGTTATGATGCGACAGTGGGGATAAGAAGTGTTTGCCACAGCGTAGTTGAATGCTTCCTATCGCTGAAGGCAGCAATCGCGCAGCGCCTTGCGCTAGTGGTGGTCGAAGAACTGGTAGGTAGTTCGTTGGCGTTTCGACCAACACCATTAAAATGGACAGGTATATTTGCTTACATTTTGCATCCAAATATTACTCATGCACTCAAGGATACGTTGCTCGCATTGAAATTGCATATTTGGTGTCAATATTATCCCCTTCATGAGCTCAAGTTATGCGCGCAATTCCAGGGCACAAAAAAGGGTGGCTGGATAGATGCTTCACCACGAAGCGCCTCCTTTATCATGTAATACCGGCGCATGCAGCCTTTGGAAGTGGCGAGGAATTCTAGCTAGAATCAAGTGAAGTGATTCCATTAAATACGTTGAGATTCTGGCCTTCTTGCTATGCTTCGACACTCAGTCCCATGGCAGGATCCATCATGGTCATACGACGCCGAAATGTCGTCACGCGCTGATACTCGAGCAAACTCTCGTCTCTTGCGCGCTTGATGGCCTTCTTCTCTGCCTTGACTTCGTCGGTGGTGTCAGCGCGCGACTTGCGAATCGCTAACGCCTCGACGCAGAATGTCGCGATATCCTGGACATGATACTCGGCTTGCTTGAGCAATTCAATGCGTTCAAGGTGATTGAACTTGCGCACGGTGCCTCGGCGGCAATGCGTGGATTTGCTGAGATCGGTGTAGGTGACGTGTGTGTGCGTTGGTGCGAGTCCAATGGGCGGACCGGTCAATTTCGGGACTGCGCTGCCGCCGTACGCAACGTCAAACGTGTAGATTTCTGCTGTGGTGAACGAGACTGCCCGAGAAGATGACATCCGTGCGCTTGTGGTGCTAGCGCGGTGGCTGGCTGTTGTGACGGTCGAGGCGTTGCTGGTGGCTGGTTCCATTTCGTTTCGGGCTGAGGTTTCGATGTGGTTGCAGTAAGTGTTTTGGCAGGTCGCGAAGGAAGTCGCGACTGAATTACTTCAAGCTTGTATATTATCAGGAGGGGTGTCCAATTTGTCCGGATAATATCAGCCAATCAAACGACGCGATACGCGGACCAAATAAAGGGAACGTTGTGGCCCTCCATCGATGGCTTTGACTCTGCCATCTCGATCGGGTGAGGGATGCGTGGCCTTAAACGTCGGAGGAGATGCGATATCTTTGAGGCTAGATGCTGCGTATTGGTTTAGTATGCATACTACGGCTAAAACCGCTCATTTGAGCTAGAGTCGTGATGTGGTCGAACTGGACTGCCGTTCCAGGTCTACCCTTCCTCTGGAGCTTCGAGCTATCGGTGCTGTTGAGACAATGTTGAAGCTTGATGTATCCATGGTGGTGACATCATGATGTGACCGCGTGCAGAGGACGCTGCTGTGCCTCTCACCGTTTTCTTTCCACCGCTGCCTCCATTTTCACGTCTTTTGAGCTCAGACGTGGCGGCGTGGGTGACGTGGAAACCGACAACCTCAGGTACACAAATGCATAAAATATTTCTGTATACATATTGCTTATTCACTACTTTGTATTTATTATATACATATTCGACTACTACATTGAGATTTCGTTTCTCATGTGTATCAAGTTTTCAGCCAAGTGCGTTACTTAATATTGTTTTTATCACATAATTCTATCAATATATATACGGCTTTCCTCAATATATTATCGGAACGCCCACACAGCACACGTTGCCTCTTTCGGTTGAGATAGTGTGATGGGTCAACGAGATGGCGGCAAAGAAGCCCATGGGCGGAGGCTTTATCTCGTTCGCGACTGACATCACGATTAGATGGAGGTTCGACACGTTGCTTCGAATGAACATAGCACATCTTAAGTTAAACACGGACCATCTCGATGCTTCTACGGTTGCAGACTGTGGCAGGGCGGCTCAAACATGGGAGGCCTCAGGCGCTTTAGTTCATGCATTGCATTCATCATCGTGTCTTCTGTATCATCTGCCTTATGGCCTTCGTCGTCGCGAGGAGTATCTTCGTCGTCAGCAACATCAGCTTGATAGACTTCTCTCCTGAATTGATGCAGCGATTCCTGTCGTGATTTGCGAATGTCGATGGCGTCCATGCAAAAGGTCGCAATGTCTTGGACATGGTACTTGGCTCGCTTGAGCATGTCGATGCGCTCGAGATGATCGAATTTGCGCACCCGTCGACGCCGTTTGTGTTCGACGTCAGAGGTCTGCAGCTGGTATAGTTCGTCTCGCAAGTCTTCATGGAATTCGTCAATGTGAATGTCGGCCATGCCAATGGGCGGGCCGGATTTCTTGGGAAGAGCACTGCCGCCATACGCAACGTTGAAGACGTACGTTGTTGCCGTGGTGAACGTGACCACCCGCGACGATGGTGCGCGGGGAGGGGTCACCTCAAACAGCGCTTCCACGTGTGTGGGGCTGGCGTCATCTGCGTCTTGCTTGAGTCTTTCCGCCGCAGTGGTCATGGCAGCAGTTTGCAATAGCTCCATCCTGGCAATCTGTGTCGACGGCTTCTCCACTTTGACTCAATGGTAAGGTTTGGCGGCGTTACTTCCGCGGGGGCGGTCCATCCACGAGGAGTCACGACTCGTTGCACTGGATCTTTGTATTCATCGCGGCGGGGTGACACACCTGGGGTTATCCGGATGACCCCTGGAAATTCGAGCCAATCAATGCCCAGGACAAGATTGGGGCACCGCAGCCACCGTGTCTTGGCCATCAGTCTCGCTCAATGGACGCCAAGGCTTCACATGACCCTGAGGTCCCGTCGGAGATCGAGGGTCTTGTGGCTAGGAGCGCCGATCGCGGTCGAAGTGGCGGGTCGGTGCGCTGAAGCCTCGGCTGACGATGCATAGGCATACATTAGTAGTGTGGTTTCGCTCCCATTTTCAACAAGCACGATATATTCAACCCGACGAGCACAAGCGTCGATATCTGCAGAGAAGCGGCTTCTTGAACGACACGCTGTTTCTTTGCGATATTTATGCCCAGGAAGGATATTTTGGATGCGGTACAGTATGCATGGATGGCCTCTGGCTCCACGCGATCTACCGGCCGCGGAAGCATGGCTCTGCGAAACAGAATCGAGACCGTAGCTGGCGGTGGCAATAACGTACGGGAAGGTATTGCGGGCGACCAGGCCCTCCATGCGGCCCATGGAGTTCGGCACTCTGTCGCAATGTCCATGAGCAAGCGTAAGGTCGATAACCATGTCGTTTGAGCATTCAACTTGTCCGGATAATGACGTATCCGAACATCAACAAGTTTGTCGTTTCCTTGTATGGCGGCGGATCGGCACCGACGGACGAGGAAGGTAAAATGGGAGCGAGAGTAACGTGGCATGGAAAAGATGAAGCGTGAAGAGCAGTACTTCTACGTTCATACGATTCATGCAATGTCAGTGAGTAGTGGGGTGCCTTCCCTTCTCTTGACGTCCTTCTTTCGGTGCTTGCAATCTCGAGCATCACTGAACGTTCATTGAGTGAATAAATAAGAGCAAAGTCTAGCATAAGAAGAGGCGATTGACGATGAAGCGCCGCAAATGCAACCCGTACAGGTGTTCGATTGGCGCGGTGCAGTCAGTCCTCGTTGCGCGCGACTGGAACGTCCATGCGCCGTCGTTTGGTTTGACCGATGGTTGTTGATGTATCTCTCACCATTGCATCCTCTTCATCGTCTTGATCGCCCATCAAACCCCGTTTGAAGAGGCGTACCGTGTTTGCGCGTGAAGTTCGAATCGTGATGGCTTCGGTGCAATAGCCCGCGATATCATGAGGAGATACACCCGCTGCTTTGAGAAGGGCAACGCGTTCGAGATGTTGGAACTTGCGCACGCGACTTCTTCGGTGCTTCACCTTGGATAGATCCGTCACATACGCATCGCTGTGGTCCATCGTCATGCCAATGGGCGGGCCAGCGTCCTTGGGAAGGGCGCTGCCGCCGTAGGTCAGTGGAAAGACGAATGTCGTGGCGGTCGTGAAGTGCACGGTGCGGTGTGCATGCCTCACGGATGGGACGATAACGGAGTCACAGTCCACCGCAGCAGGGCTGCTGGGCGCGTAGTTGGGCATGTCGAGCTTGGTGTACATGGGTGTCGGTGTGCTTGTCGAGGAGGTCTGGGGTCGTCGGGTGGGTTCCTGGAATGGAATGCACGAAAAACGTGCACGATGACACGGCGCGAGAGTGGCGGAAGCAACGAAAAAATAGTTTCAACTGTATGGGAAAATCCTCTCACAAAACATTGAAAAATACATTGTCTCAGCTAATTTTAGCCCATACAATGCCACCAGCAAGCGACAAAACCGTTTCCATCTGAAAGCGGCCAATCAATATCCTGGACTCGAGTATGACGTCGACGCGTCACCGTAAAAAATTTGGCAGGAACCACGATGAACGATGCCATCGCAACGGCCAAGTAGGCCCCTCAGACGGAGAGAGAGCGCAATGGCTTCTGCATAGACCAGCTAGATGGATGGTAAATGCATTAAATAGGCAAGGAATGTGCGCATTTGACGGTCGCTTTCACGTGGGTAGCACGGGTGTCAGGGAACGTATTGGCGCTGGCAGCGAGTGCTCAACAGCATGTGCGGAGACGCTTCGCCGTTTTGAGGCGTCATTGTGATTAGCGTCCTGTAGAGCGATTTTGTAAGTGGCTTCGACAAGGTGCGCGGTTTGCATCGCCCGTCGCTTTCTCCTTTCGTTCAGCACTTCCCGCAGTTCAACCAACGTGTCTTGGCGAGCCTTCATGATTGCCAAGGCTTCCACACAAAAAAAAAACTGTGCGATGTCCGAGACATGGTATGGCGGCGCTTTCAGCAGCGCAATATGCGCTCGAGGTAATTGAGTTTGCGGACTCCTCGTCGATGACGAGCATGGTTTGCAACCAAATCGGCTTTGTCCAACGCGATGTACGTCACGAAGATGTGCGACGTCGCGAGGCCGATGGGCGGTCTTGACACAGTTGGCACGCATTGCCGCCGTGTGCAACACGAAAGGTATAAGTCGTAGCTGTCGTGGATTTCACAACACGACGCGCAGTTGGAGTTGTGGAGAGTTAGGTAGAAAAATCCTCGACGTGAGCAGGCTTGCGTCCTGGCCGATGCAAGACGGTCGCAGTGACGAACGATGTGCACCTAGCGAAATGCTTGTACCGATCACGACGGTGGTCATGGTCGAGGTGTGCGCAGGCGGCGGTGCTTCGAACGAGCGTCGCTGAGTTCTGAAATTTCCGTTGCCTGCATGTCGTATCAATGTATCCTGGGGATGTCACGACAAGACTGTACTAAAATAAAGTATACGCGAGGACGGAACTTGCAAGGAGACATCTTTTACTAAATCCAAATAGCCAATCAAATGTGTTTCTCCTCGACTTCGACGTCTCGGATTGGTCCGTTCAACTTGAAGGCGACTGGGCGCGTGTTCGACAGAAGTCCCAAGCCATGGAGAGCTGGCCCGAGGGAATTAGGAGGTGCTTCAAGGCGACGAACCCCATGGAGATTTTGCGATGCCCTCCTTTGCCGCGAAGGCATTTGGAGACTGCAGCTTTGTACGCACGAAATCTTTACCGTTCGCGACATCACCGGTCATGGCATTTTCACGTGTCGGCTTCCTCGAAAGAGATGGCTGTCGAAGAACGAGGTGCATCGTGCCTTCTCGCTCAGTTTGACCCGCGAGATGTGGATGCATGAAGTAGTGCTGAGCCATGCCGAAGTACGTGGTGCGGAAGTCGGACGGCGGGGACCGCTCCTTGTTAAAGATCCAGTGGTTAGTGCGGAGTGCGACACTCTCGTCCAAGCACAAGCACACCTTCTGCCCACGAGCTGGAACGGATTTAACGCACGTTAAACGACCTCCAATCGTTTGTCGACCGATGGAGTCCTTCACGTTAAAGGATAAAACGCACCTGCTCGACCAACACTCTGATTGAGTGGGGCGGTGGAGCCAGGGCTGGGACAGCGGAAACTGGTGCACTCGACACGCAACTCGTCCCTGCCACACCGTCCCGACAGCATGATGAATGGGGTCAGTTAAAAACTTACCCCCTGACCACCACACAGATCCATGTCGACCACCTCGGCACACGTTGCGGTTGCGCCGAGCGGCGTCAAAGCGGCCAAGTCGCTTCAGTTCACCACGACCACGACGTACCTCTTCCACCCGGCGCTCAACGGCAGCGCGCTTCCCGCCGAAACGGGACCCGCCGTGGGTCTCGCCCCACATCACTTTGACGTCCACGTCGCCAATATCCCAGCATCCAAGTGGTGTCGCCGCGGTCGTGTGCGCAAATTCACACATACCGAACGCATCGAACTCCTCAAAGCTGCGGGGATGGCTGTGGCAGAGATTGCTGCGCACTGTAGCGAAGCCATCGATCTCCGCCAGTCGCGAGCCGCCACACGAGAAGAAGAAAAGCGCAAGCGAAAGATTGAGGCCAAAATGGACGCTTTCGCGAAACGTCATCGGGGGGAAAGCAGCCACCACCGCCCGAGGCCTTCGGAAGTGATGGCCGCATAGCCTGTCATGGCCGAACGCCTAACTTAAGCTAAGTAATCTATCTATTGCACGGCCACACGGTGGTTATTCGGAGGCCACGGCACCCAGTCCGTTCGAGGGCGGGCGTTGTGCTGCTGACTTGCATGGTTTTTGCACAAGTAGCTTGTCACCCATTGCGGACGGCGCGCCTCGTCTTGCCGACCAGGTGCTTGGAACCAACGAAATACTCATGCCATGCACAGCGCACACGTTAGGGCACAGTGGCTCAAGTGCCGTGAGCAGCCAGCGCCAAAGGCGTTCAAATCCCCGTTTCCGACGGCACCCACTTGACCTATTTAGCAACCCATCGTGCTCAACAGCGACAAGATTACAGTATCAACTCAAGTATATAAAACCCTGGCCGGTCCAAGATGTGTGGCAGCGCGTGATCTGGCAACCCAATTCGGCGGACCTGCACCCTTCGCGGCGAAATGCCACGGCAGACGGGCGGACGAGTCATGCATGGGCCTGGCCCCGAATTTCATTCTGGATGTAGATGAATGGTTCATGACGGGCACTTTGCCAACGTGAGGGGCACGGAATATCGTGGGGTCTACCGTTGTACGTCAAGGGCTCGGATGTTGCGCGTGAGTCTCGACCTGTGTGGAGGGAGGCTCGTTGCCGTGTGTGGGACGACAGGATGCCACGTCATCGTGTTGGAAATTGTATACTGTGTCGGCACAGCGTTTCCTTTATCGAACGTGGCGTCGTTCGTTCGATTTTGAACAAGTGGATTTTTCCAAGGCCGAACATCGATCGATACAAAGTTCAAGTGACATTGAAACGGCGAGACGGAACAAACGGTTTCTTTTTCCGCCGCGTCCTTTTCGACCGCCGCGTACTTCCCAACTGGCCGCCAGTTCCTGCCAACACACTATGCTTGTGACGTTGCCTGCCACGACGACTACGACTGCCGCGGTGGCGGCACCACCGTCATCCCCACACACGTGGCAGTCCAATGTCGACATTCCCACTCGGCGAACGATGATCCACAAGTTGCTCTGGGCCTTCCAGAACAAGCACCAAGTCATGCACCGCGTGCTATCGACCACGGTCGATTCGTTCGGGAATGACTCGACACTCCAACCCCCGACTATGGACGCCCGCCTGCCGTCGCTCGTTCGTCGTTTGGAGCTCGCATTGTACCTCCGGGCAGCGTCGTTGGAAGAGTACTTGAACGAAAAGTCGCTCCAGCGGCGCGTGCAGCACTTGATTGTGTCGCTGCATCACCAATCGGTCTTGCATTTCAGCGCGCAGGAGGTTACTTTTCGCATGCCATCTCTCAAACGACGAGCTGCCACAGCTAGCGCAGAGGAGACGTCCGTAGAGGTATCCGCAAAGAAGCCTCGCAAGTCCACAGACCCGCCACTCCATCCCGAATGCGTTCTCTTCCTTGGTAACCAAGAGCATGTCCTCGGCCACGTCTTTTCGTTTCTTGATGGCATCGACGTTGTCCGATGCATGAGCTTGAATCGGTTCGCTGCGTCGTTCTTGCCCCGGAACGTTCGGTACTTGAGTCTGTCGTGGCACCAGCTTGCCGCAGTGCTTGGCCAGCAACGCCTGCAACGGTTCCAGCAACTCGAGAGGTTGGCCGTGGCCCCACCTCTTCCCCTCTTCCACCCCACCTCGACCCCACCAACCCTGAGCAACGAACTTGTTGTTGTACAACTCGCTGCCGCGTTGCCCTCACGCGCATTGAAACAGCTCATTCTCTCCAACGTGTACATCCACACCGATGACGTGAATGCGACGTCCGCCCTCTGCAGCGCCCTGCTCTCGTGCACTTCGCTGACGCACTTGAGTCTTGCTGGAAATGCCATTGGTGACAGCGGCATGGCGGCCGTAACGGCCATGCTACCGTCTTTGCCTGCACTGGTCCACTTGGATTTGCGGCGCAACTACATTGGCGAATCCGGCATGCATGCTTTCGCCAGGATGCTACAAACTGGTTCCCATCCGCTGCGTCTCCACACGCTGCTTCTCGGTTCCAACATTGCAGCCAGGTCCGTCTGCAATGTGGCAGCTGGTGTAGGCCACCGCCGCCTCCAGCACCTTCGCGTCCTCGGACTTGAAGATAACTTTGTCGACTTGGCTGGCGTCGAAGCGTTGGCCCAAGTTCTCCGGCAAGGTGTGTGCCCCGTACTCCAAGAACTCTGCATTGGCGACAATGCCGTGGACAACCGCGTGATTCGATCTGTTTTTGCATTTGCCAAACCTGCCATGTTGTAGGAGGTATAGATTGCTAAGACACAATACTGCTCGAGAGCATTAGCGAGTGCAGTTCATGTTTCGCCATCGCTTCGGACAACGGGATAGCACAGGTGGGCTTGGCTTTAGTCAGCTCACTCAAAATTACTCGCCTTGAACGTAGAAATTGAGGCAATGTGTACCGCTAGACAACGCTGGCCCGACGCCGCGATAAGTATTTCGTTGAATTTGGGGCTGCATGAAGCTGGGAATGGAGTCCAGTTTCACGACTACATTCGAAATGATGCAAGGACTATTGAAGAGATATTGGTACATTTGGATAGATGCGTGGAGCTATGAGGGATTTTTCTGCGAGATCAAGCCTTGAACCCAAGTCCAGATGGAGTTTTGGCCAGAAGGCGACTTCGGTGAAGCTCGCGGGACGAGGTCGTACTGCTGCACTCTCTCTTCAAGTTGACGCAAGTCAGACATTCGTTGGGCTGCAATAGCAGCTTGGTCGCTTTCGCTGAGAGGGAGTGATCGAAATGATGAGTCGAAGCTGTGCCGTTGCCAATTCAGTAACGCTCTCGACCATAGCGTCGTAGCAGCTGCCGTCGGCGCTGCAAAGAGGATAATCTGTTCTTTATCGCCAGGAGTGGACGAGTCAACGTACGGCGTCAAGTGCACGAAAAAGCGGCACGGGAGGCCATTGCCATCGCTGAATGGCACCATGTCCACCTCGATGCTGTGCCTGGCCAACGAGACGCTGAGGATCAAATGCGCATCTTGGCGGTCGGGCGAAGAGTACATCTTGAGCATGCCTTCTTCCAGCGCTGCATAGTGAATATCGCCCAAGTTGTCGTTTTGGGCGTCCAAATGGAGCAGGTACCCTTCGCGGATGCCAGCCATGAGGACGGCGGATGCAACATGCACGTTTCTGATCTTTATCCAGGAACCTAATCTTCGAAAATTCGATTTTGGAGGTGGAAAAAGGTATTTTGACCTACGGTGGTCAATCTGAACTATTTGGAACACAATGTGAGCAGCATATCGTCACCATTTACCTCTCGGAATTCCTCGAAGAACTCATTCGGCACCACCATTTTCTCAAGGACTCGAAGCTGTTTAAACTGACGCCGCGTTGAATACAGATTGTTGGGTTGAATTCCAGTTGCGTTTGTCGAAACGATCCAAAATTCAAAGAAATATGTTACATATTTTGTGTATATTGATGCGATAAAATGAAATCATGCAGTACGACTGTTTCACGATGGCGCGTTACTGCAATCTTAAACGTACGCAGGACAACTACCAACGGCCGCAACAAAGGCGGCCACGGACTCGAACCTGCTACGAAGCATGGTGGTCTGCCAGTCCATTCATACTTAGTGTCAACAAGCAGAGTCAGTCGAGTGCGACGCTGAGTGGTGCACAACACAGGTGTGGTGAGGAAGGGTAAGTTAGTTACATTATGGTCCAGACGACTCGGGCGTCACGACTCGTCATCAAGGGGGTCGTCGTCGTCGCTTGAACAACCTCCATCGAGGCACGGACGTACTCTTCTCGAATCCGAATCTCGTTGGTGTCGTTTCCGCTTGTACTCTTCGATGGTATCGTGTCTGGACTTTCGAACGTCGATCGCGTCAAAGCAAAAGTCCGTGATTTCCTTGACGGGATACGCCGCTGCCTTGAGCAACGCAATGCGCTCAACGTGGTCAAACTTGCGAACCGTGCCACGTGGGGAAGTTGCGTCCAGGTATTGCGAGAGATCCGTGTCGGTCGAGTCACTGTGACGTCGTGCAAGGCCAATGGGCGGTCCGCTTTCATTTGGGACGGCAGATCCGCCATACGCCACATCAAACAGGAACGTCGTGGCAGTTGTGAATTGCACGCGGTGGGGCAGCGTGCGCTTGCGCCGGCGTCGTGGCAGCGCTCCAAGCGGCATGATGGAGGTCGGTCTGCGTGATAGAACGCAAATTGGAAAATGGTTCTGCAAATACAAGAAGGGGTCAAGTGGGGGTAGGGGACTCGGAGGAGCGACAACCCCACGGCTTGTGTTGTACGGGACAGAGGAGGGTTGGCATAGCTTTGCTTCATTATTTACATACAAACCTTTAAATCATTGGGCAGAACCCAGATAGTTGCGAAAATTATTATGATATTTTGCCCACCACAAGCATGTCATTTGAATTCATTATGCCTACTTGCTCGATTCTAAATATATCGAGTTATCAAATTCATGCCGACAAATTCGAGCGAAATGGCCAGAACATGCGGCGATCGCTTGGCCCACACCGGGACGTGGCCACCGGTGGCTGCCACCAACTGGACTGAGCTTGAACTCTACCAGCCATACAAGTCACATGGCACGGGGCTAACCCGTACTACGGATGGGTGGGTCTGGTGTACCCGTCTTTCGTCTGGTTTGCCCGCCTTTCGTCGGTCTACAGCACACCAAGGGACATTGAAGTCCCTTGAGACCGACGTGGAAGGTTTGGTCGAATGTATTTCACGTGTACTCGAACCAGGAACCGTGGCCGCCTCTTGGATCAAGCGGGCACGACGCCCCAAATCTCTGTGCACCGGATCGACTTCTCAGAATCCATAAAGACGCGTCTTAATTAAGCCCTTCCAAATATGCCACGATCTGTCGGTGGTGGTTCTGCGTCGCGTGCCGAATCGACGACTGGATGTCCCCTTCGTGGCGATGGGAGGCAAGAAATTGCACAACTTTTAAATGTCCATTGCGCGCCGCGATCTCCAACGCGCGAGGGGTACATCCTTCGGTTCGGTGGTTGTGGAGGAACTCGACCACCTCGAGGCGGCCGTACGACGCGGCCCTGTCCATTGCAGACGTCGTGCACCCTTCCGTCCGATGTTCGTGCAAAAAGCGCAATACATTCAAATGGCCATGCTCGGCCGCGTTGTCCATTGCGTACTTGGTGCAGCCTTCGTGGCGTTTGTGATGCAAGAATCGCACCACATCCAAATGGCCATTCGACACGGCGCCATCCATCGCCAAGGTCGTACAGCCTTCCTTGCGATGCCGGTGGAGAAACGTCACCACTTCGATATGGCCATTCTTTGCCGCCAAGTCCATAGCGGACGTGGTGCATCCCTCCGTCCGATGGTGATGCAGAAAGGTTACGACTGCCAAATGGCCACCCCGCGCGGCCAGATCCATCGCGCGGGTTGTGCATCCATGGACGTTGTGTTTGTGGAAGAATCGGACAACGTCCAAATGGCCGTTGGCCGCGGCCGACACGAACGCAGTGTCGGGAACGCCATCAAAATGCCGGAACTGGTGGAGAAATTCCACAACGTTCAAATGTCCATTCGTGGCCGCGTGGAGCATGGCAAAGTGCGAGCAACCTTCGTTTCGATGGAAATGGAGGAAGCGAACAACGTCGACGTGACCGTTGCGCGCGGCCAAATCCATGGAGTCGGTCGATGCGGTGCTGTATGTCGGGTTCGAATGCAGCAGTTCGAGCATGGGCAGTTGACCGTTCAGTGCGGAGAGATCGATCAGATGGGGAAACCCATGGCAGTAGAACGGCGACGAGGACGAAGAACTTTTCGTAAGAGGAGGAGGGTGGTGCAGCAGCAGGGACATCACCTCGGTTAGTCCATAGTACGCAGCGTGCACAAGCACCATTAGACGCATGTACTGCATCGACCGAACCAAGCGAAGCACACGAGTCGAGCCATGCATGGCGTACCAAGGAGAGAGGACTTCGTCCAGGCGTTCGAAGATGGGTATCAATGACGTATCGTAGTGAGTCAAGGATTCGCCGAGGAGATGGTACCGCGTGAGTGTCTTGTACTCGTCCGACGCAGGATGGAGGTGCTGGAACACCAGGCCATCTTCATAGAGCCCGTCTTGGAATTCAAAGATGCCGCGAAGGAGCTCCGTGTTGCGCAGGACGGCGTCAGCGAGGCAGGACGAAGTTGGCATGGCGATCACTCCCTCGAACTCCACTTCCGCAACGGGTGCAGAGGTCCGCAGGTATCGATCGCCATAGCCACGTCGAGCTCTCTCTCTCTCGCTCTCCCTCTATTTTTCTTGTGAATCCGACTCTCTCACATGAGAGTGCTTTTCTGAATCAATGTGCGAGAGAATTGAGCCATTCGATGTTGCAGCCGAGGACGAGAGCGAATCGCGCTCTGCACGAGAGGGAAGCGAAAGAATTCGTGCATAGCAAGCGCAACGACCGTTCAAAGAGGTCGTTGGCGAGCACGCATACATAAAGGGCGGCATGAGTCGCCCCTCTTGTGTCCGTCCATCGCGGGCGAGTGCTTCGAAAAAGAGCCAGACGACCCCACAATACCTACTTCCCGGCCCAAAAAACATCTCGAGGATTTTGTCGTGATAACTGAAATATTTCGAGCGCCGAGGCATAGTATTCGCATACAACTTTTTATATAGCGGCTCGTTTTTAACCTTCGTCGGTGGGGTGAGGAAGAACAATAACTATTGGAAGTGCGAAGGACGGGGCGGAGAGTCCTGTGGTCTCGACGGAGTTTCACACACAGACTGCGCTTCTCTCGGCAACATGACTTGACAAAAAGGGCAGTCTCTGTCGTGCATGTCGAAGCCACCACAACTCGAGATTATTCGACAAGCAACGTACCTGGTCGGGGAAAGTGGAGTTTCAAGCTTGTACGCATGCTCGTCAGGATGCGATCCCAAGAAAATCAACCATTTTTGCAAAAGGCGGTTCGCGCGAGACGCTGCGTGACGTTTTCAGTGTGGCAAAGCAGTAATCGTCACGATGGCGATTTCATCCGTAACCCAGGCAGGAAAAACGAAAAGCGGATAACACGCAAAAATGATCCCTGCATCTCGATGCACCAGGGTATAAATGGCCACACAGCCACGTACCAACGACCACCCGATGACAAACCTTTGGAATTTTATGTGGTTTGTAGGTCAAGCAATTGATTGGTCCATTGAGAAAAGGAGTCCAATTTAATTGGCGAATTCAAACTCATCCACCGAAACAAATACCACTTGGGTTCACTATACTCGAAAGACTTCGCCGAAAGTCGATATATCCATTTACAAAGGTTTTCAATCACCCACTTCGACAATTTGAAATTCAGCCGTGGTCGCGGCGGCAACGATTGCCCCATGGCGCGCACGAAGGATGGACTGGTGTCCGGTGTGGGCGATCAACCCCGTGAAACGTTCATGTTTGAAGGCATGAAGATCAATCGCTGCGACATCTGCAAGAATCCCAAGAGACACAAGGCGTGGTGTGCTGCGGAATGGGAGACCCGCAAAAAGGCGTTCGCTGCAACGTCTTCGTCACCTGCTCCTGCTGACCCCACTTCGCCAAGAGAAGCGTCGAAAACGACGCACGATCCACTGCGAGCTGATCACGGCCAAACGGCACCGTCGAACACGTCTGAAAATTCCCAAACGGTGCAAAAGCGCACCTCCTCCCAACGCACCGTCAGACCATGTCCATTTTGTCCGTGCAAGACGCGAAAGCATCTCCATCGCGACGCACGGAACTGTTTGTTTTACGCGTACTACAAGAAGCGATTGACAGAGGACTTGATCACATCTCTCAATCCCATAGTGCGACAGCCTGGCGAAAACAACTTTGACGCATGTGCGCGAGAGTACAGGCTGACGCTTGCAGCGAACGAGGCCCAAGAAACGCCACAAACATCCACCACGAACAAGGAGGACGTGGGGGCTTCGCAACTACTTGCTACGAACAAAGAGGTCCAGGGAATAACGCAACCACTTCCTACGATCCAGGATATCGATGGAACAGCACAGCCACCCTTCACGAGCAAGGACACCGTGCTGTCAAAATGGACAATTGACAGATCACAACTTGTGGCACGTTCGTCTGCAGCCAAGCCGACGTCGTTTTCGTCCACGGTGTCAACAGCTCAAGAAATTTCGCCGACACAATCGGTCAGATCTGTTGCGTCGTCCTCTGTTCAGGACAACACTGTGTTGTCCCGATGGACCATTGATAGGTCAAGACCTGTGTCCGCACCCTCGACAGTCGTGCATGCGAGGAAGACGACTCCGTTGTCGTCGAGGATGTCGACACCGGAAAGCAGTACTCCAACACGATCGACGAGACCTGTCGCGTCAGCACCTGAACAGGAATGCCCGATGGTCATTCCAACTTCGAACCAAATCGCATCAAAACATGTCAACGCACATTTTACTGAAGCGATGAGAACCAACCCAGGGACAACGGCTCTTGTGACGTCGAGACCTACGTCCACCACATCTTCCGCGACAGCAGAGACACCCGTCAAAACCACGACGCCACGACTGGCTACGCTCGGTCAGCCCTCCACGACGGCCCTGCAAACTGCTCACCGGCTTGAAAAAATCCGCTCCTCTTCAAAATCGTCCTCGCTCCTGCCGTCGCCGCACACCTCCTTCACGACGTCGCTAGCAGTTGGTCCTGCTACGCCGTCGACTTCTTTGGCAGCGTCTGAGTGCACAACCAAGTCACCACCCACCACGACTGAACCACGTGCAGCCCAAGCCAAGGCAAATCACACGGCGCGAATGACGAAAAATGACCCGGTGACAGCAAAAGAGCAAGCTGCAACAACATCGACTGTAGTCGCGACAAAAACCAGTTCCACTGCAACTTTGGACGCCCGATCAAGCACACATGAAAGTGTTGCAGCTGCTGTTGCCTCCACGGAGACGACAACATCTCCGCGTTCTAAACGACGAGACGTTGTGCGAACAGCTCCTGCATCATCGTCATCCCGCGCTTCAGCATCGTCGCAACCGCCCAAGACAAACGCACAACAGGCCAACAACACGTCGATCCCATACCCGATCCAGCCCGGGATGACTCCGTATATGTGGTATTTGCCTGCAATGGTTCCCGGGCAGCTCCTCCCGCCAACGCACCCTTCGTCCGTCGACAACACGAGAAAGAATGCTCCTAGCAGTACGAGCTCTGCACGACCCATCACCCCCCAAAAGCCCTTGTCCCCCGTTCCCGCAGATGTCGACCCGTCCACCCGACCAACAGTTTCCGTGCCCCGTTCAGAAACGGCGGCCAATGTGTCGAAAAAGCGACAACTTTCCGACGAAAACGCAAGTCCCCGCGCCACATCTCCACGCGAAGACGACCAAGGCGGTCGCGTCCAACGTCGTCGACACGACGACCAACGCTTCGACCTGCTCCGGCAACTCTTGTCTGTGATCGAACGGGATCAAGTCCATGCGAAAGCCCACGACGACGCCGTCGTCAAACTCCAGCTCGAGCGACTCGAGTTTGACCGCGAATTACAACGCGAACGCATTGCGTTCGATAAGGCTCAAGCTACCAAAGCCGAGAAACGATTCGAAGCCAACCAAGAGATTATTCACCAATTGCTCGCGCAACTCAACGCGGTGGCATCGTCGACATGAGCTACCCAACAACCAAGTTACACGGTCCGATTGACTGTGCATTGTCGGCAGCAAGGTGCCGTTGCAAGCGGCCGCCGTGGCAGAGTCCTCAGAGTGACTTTTGCGTGTCAGCGGGAACCGATGCGCATGTAGCTTTTCGTGCAGCCGTCAGTACTCCATGGCAATACCCTCGACTATTGTGAGCCCTGATAACGTCCCTTCTTGTGCACCACAGGTGTCTTTTTCGTCCGCACGCCCTGCATTCCCTCAAGCATTGACCGCACTTACGCCATCGCGGCGGCCGCTGTCTCCACCGCTGCCTTGGTCGTGTCAGGTTGGTCGAGAAAGTCGCCGTACAGGCATTGCATCGCCCATCGCGATTGCCGATGTGGATTCTGGAGCACATACGTCATGCACGATGCAAACAAGACGGCCGCGACTTTCGACTGCTTCGAGAGCCATTCGTGCTTGGCCGCTAGTTGAATGTACACGGACACGAGGCTGTAGCACGCAACAGCCTTGATGATCGACGTTCGGCGGGACGTGGGCTCCAAGTACTGCGCCAGGAACGGCGTGAGCGACGTCAGTTTAATCATGGCCAAATCGTTCTTCTGAGGAAGCAGACACGACGTCGAGTACGCCAGCATGTAGCTCGATGTCATGAAGGCGAGGGACCGACAGAGACCAACTGCCGCACATTGCACGGAGGATACGTGTCGAGTCGTGGCCAACGAATACAACAACGTCAAACCATGCAGCGGCACAAAGATCTGAGCACTGCGTCCAAGGAGTTTGATGCACGTCGCGCCTGCAAACGCAATACAGGACCGCCCTGGGTGCAAGCTCGTGCACCGAGTGACGGCGGAAGTCTGGAGGTTTTGTCGAACTGCTTGTAAGCGTGTCGTGGACAGGGACGATTGGTGGTCCATCATGGACAGGTGCACGGGAAGCATCCAGTCGGGGTGGACGAGGTTTGTGTGAATGAGTCGGGCCGTGATCGCCATAGCTGCACATTGCTCCAAGAGCCACCGCACCGTTGGCGGTGTCTTGCGAGCAAGCGTTGATGTCGAGTACAGCTGGGCCATCGTCTCCACGCACGCATACGACAGCAAAACGTACTTGTGTTGGTCGGAACACAGCCGAAACACGACGAGAGACGCTACCCATGCAGCCAGCTTGCTCTTCTTCTTCCGGCGACGGCGGTTGATGTAGCGAAAGACGCCGCAACCGACACCAAGTGCGACAAACAGAGACGGTGGGCCTTTTACGCGGCGGCTTCGAATACTTGAGATCACAGTCCCAATGGCCACGCACCCACACGCGGCTGGCAGCGCGTGGGCCAATGCGTCGTTGAGGCCATGCATCGTCAGGTGCTGGATGAAGTTTCAGTTGGATGTTTCCGGATGTGGCATCATCACCGGATACAATGGCGCGAAATCCTACAAAGTAAAATACCAAAATCCACTGAATAATAGTGAAAAAATGGTGTTGGATTGGTGTATTTTGTTGGTTTTTTACATGCACAGAGTACGTCAACTTCAACTTGACAGTTCAGATTTGTCGCGGCGGTGATGGAGAAATAGCCACCGCCGTGGACGCTTGCTATCTTCTGCGCCGGCAGCACCAGCCCCCGTTAGCTCTATGCCGGGGTTTCGCGAAGCTCTTCGCGATATACGTCCTATCTCTTCGCGATATACGTCCTCTCAAACAATGTTGCCATACAGCACTCTGGTTGTCACAAATTCAGTGTCGGCACTGCCGTGTGCAAGTTTCACCTGCTCGGAGTAAAATGGAACTTGCGCTCATATCGAGCATACGAAGTCAACTTTGTTGGGCCATAAACGCTGTACGATCCGTTTCGCCTAGACAGGAATACGTTCGTCGGATTCCTTTCACTGATGGTCAATCTTTTCCTTCGACGCAGCGTCTGTGGTAGGTAGTTGGCGATCATTCGAGTGTCGCGGTGGCAACGCCAAGCCGAGGTACTTGACAAGCCATGGGTTTTGAGTGTGTGGTGGTCGTTGCAGCAAGTACGACATCAAGGCAGCGTAGAGCAATGTCCATGTTGCACCCTCGAGCCTTCCATTCATTTTGGCTGAGCCTCTCGCGAATGTCTTGACCTGATATACGACCGAAATGAGGCTGTAGCATGCGACAGCTTTCAAGATGGTAAGCCGTCGCCTAGGTGATTCAAGCAACTGCGCCAAGGAAGGCGTCAGCGTGGCCAGGGCCAGCATCAGCTTGTGGTTTGTCTGAGGGAGCGCGCACGACGACACGTACGGAAGCAGGTAGTTGGCCGTTAAGAAGGCGACGGACTTGACGAATCCAGTTAATTGATGGCGCAAGTTCGGAAGCTTTCGCGTGGCAGCAAAAGTACCGATTATCGCCAGCACGTGCAACGGCGCGAAGATTGACACACTTCTTGAAAGAAGCAGCCCTGTCGCTTCAACGGCGAATGCGCCGCACGACGACGTATGAGGATGGAGCATGGTGCAGCGGGGTACACTGGTGTCGTGGAGGTTTGTCCTAAGCGCAGCGAGGCGGGCTGGAGCAAGGCCGGACTGGTGATCAAGCATGCGCAGCTGCGAAGGAAGCAGCCAATTCGCGTGGAACAGGAACGTGTACATCAGTCGTGACGTGATGGCGACGCCAGTCGCCCGCTCGACCCATCGTGGCAAGCGGTGAGTTTGCGACAGATAAAACGTGTACACGGCTTCGACGACAGCGTACGACAGCACAACGTGTTTGTTGCTGAAGCTGCACATTTGAAAGAATGCAGCAGATGAGACAGTCGCGGCGATGTGGCGGTGGCAATGCCGGTAAAGGCAACGAAACAAGCCCGACCCGACTGCAGCAGCCACGAAGAACGGCGGTGGGGGTTTAAGCTGACGCGCTCGTATGCTTGCTATGACTGCTCCGACGAGAAACGTCCCACATGACGTCGGACCAGCATGGCGCGCTGTGGCCACCAGCTCGTGCAAGGGCTGTTGAGGGTCGGAGGGTGCGGAAGACATTGTTGAAACACGGCCCGTTCCACCACAGCAACAGTTTCAATTGGGCCAAACCGAACGGGCCAAACGAGTGGGAAAAATCCAACTTTCCGCTCTGTGGGGTGGCAAGGTTGATGGCGGCGCTCGCTGGTGGTACCGGCCATTTCCTATGGCTAAATTGAGCTGTGGAGCATATAGGCGTCGGCAACGGCAGCATATACAATGACGTAGCCATGAATGGAGCGGGCGCCGAGCACGTGGTCGCCAGCCAAATGGTGTCCCTCTCCTCAACTGTATGAGCTAGATTACAGCTTAACGTCGTCATGGAGTAGTGACAGGTATAACTTTGTCGCCCTGAGCGTTGTGTTTCGTGGGATTTGAGCGGCTATCAGTGCTGTTTCTAGACTTCGTCATGGGTTTTCCGTACAGGTACTGCATGGCGAGGTGGCTTTGAATGTGCGGCCGCTTCAGAATTTGCGTCATGCACGCTGCATACGCTGCCGTGGCGACCCACGACCACGGCACATGCTTGGCTGGCGTTGCCATGTACAGTCTGCGCCACCAGCGGCTCGATTTCGCCTGTAAGTGCAGAGAAATGAGTGCCCAGCACGAAATAGCCTTGAGCACGCTCGCTCGGCGTTTGGGGGGCTCCACTTGAAGGACGGCGTACGGCAACATCGAAGCCAGTAGAGCGACCCATTTGTGGGGTGCGTTTGGCACCAAGCATGACAGCATGAGTGGAGCCATGTTCGCCCCTGTGAGAAACATCATGGAACGAGCCACCCCTTTGATCACTTTTGGCCACTCGATCACTTTCTTGGTTGCAATACCTGCAGCCAGCGAGAGACTCTGGAGGGGCACAAACACTTGCGCGCTCCGACTGAGCAAGTTGAGGGTTCCTGTGACGGCAAACTGGCGGCACGAGTGGTCTGGATGCATCGTGGCACACCGCGACAGCTCGTTCGTGTGGATGTTGCGGCGAAATTGCTCCAAGTGCGCCACAGGGATGTTAGTTTGGTAGTCGAACGTCTTCAAGGTTGACGGAGGTAACCATTCTGCGTGGACCAGGTAGGCGTAAGCCACGCGCATGGTGGTGATCAAGGATATTGCATGTTCCACCAAGGTCGGGAGACAGCGATGGTCCCAGTACGCTTGCAGAAGCACTTCCAAACACCCATACGACAGAACAACTTGGCGATGCGATGCAGTGCACAATCGGAAGAATGTAATTGACGCCACTGCCGCTGCGAGCTTGCTGTTCCCGTTTCCTCTGATGTGATTCACCAGTCTGAATACGCCAGTGCCAACGCCCAGCGCGACAAAGATGGCAGAGGGACCTGCCAGCTGACGCGCTCGAATGCTGGACAGGAAAGCCCCTACAGCCAGCGTGCCGCATGTCACCCGCAGCGACGCTGTGACTGTCGACGACTCCATCAAATCTCTAGCACACACAGTGAAACTTCGCACACGAAACACATCCGGTATC